ACCATTCCCATTCATCATAGTATTGGAAGTTCTGATCAGGGAAATCAGGCAAAAAAAAAAAAAAGAAATAAATCGTATTCAATTAGGAGAAGAGGAAGTCAAATTGTCTATTTGCAGATAACATGATTGTATATTTAGAAGTCCCCATCGTCTCAGCCCCAAATCTCCTTAAGCTGATAAGCAACTTCAGTAAAGTCTCAGAATACAAAATCAATGTGCAGAAATCACAAGCATTCCTATACACCAATAACAGACAAAGAGAGAGCCAAATCACAAGTGAACTCCCAAACACAATTGCTACAGAGAATAAAATACCTTGGAATATGACTAACAAGGGATGTGAAGAACCTCTTCAAGTAGAACTATAAACCATTGCTTAAGGAAATAAGAGAGGATACAAGTAAATGAAAAAATATTCCATGTTTATAATTAGGAAGAATCAATATCGTGAAAATGGCCATACTGCCCAAAGTAATTTACAGATTGAATGCTATCTCCATCAAGCTACCATTGACTTTCTTCACAGAATTGGAAAAAAACACCTTAAACTTCATATGGAATCAAAAAGACCAGAGCCAAAGACAATCCTAAGCAAAGAAAAAAGAAAGCTGTAGGCATCACGCTGAGTTCAAGCTATACTACAAGGCTACAGTAATGAAAACAGCATGGTACTGGTACCAAAACAGAGATACAGACCAATGGAACAGAACAGAGGCCTCAGAAATAATGCCACACATCTACAACCATCTGATCTTTGACAAACCTGACAAAAACAAGCAATAGGAAAAGGATTCCCTATTTAATAAATGGTGTTGGGAAAACAGGCTAGCCATATGAAGAAAGCTGGAACTGGATCCCTTCCTTTTTTTTTTTTTTTTTTTTTGGAGACGGAGTTTCGCTCATTACCCAGGCTGGAGTGCAATGGCGCCATCTCGGCTCAACACAACCTCCGCCTCCTGGGTTCAGGCAATTCTCCTGCCTCAGCCTCCTGAGTAGCTGGGATTGCAGGCACACACCACCACGCCCAGCTAATTTTTTGTATTTTTAGTAGAGACAGGGTTTCACCATGTTGACCAGGATGGTCTCGATCTCTTGACTTCGTGATCCACCCGCCTCAGCCTCCCAAAGTGCTGGAATTACAGGCGTGAGCCACCGCGCCCAGCTGGATCCCGTACTTATACGAAAATTAACTCCAGATGGATTAAAGATTTAAACATAAGACCTAATGCCATAAAAACCCTAGACGAAAACCTAGGCAATACCATTCAGAACATAGGCATAGGCAAGGACTTCATGACTAAAACACCAAAAGCAATGGCAACAAAAGCCAAAAGAGACAAATGGAATCTAATTAAACTAAATGGTATCTAATTAAACTAAAGCATTTCTGCACAGCAAAAGAACCAGCAACCAACAAATTGGGAAAAAGATTTTTGCCATCTACCCATCTGACAAAGGGCTAATATCCAGAATCTACAAAGAACTTAAACAACTTCACAAGAAAAAAAAAAAAAAAAAAACATCAAAAGTGGGTGAAGGATAATGCACAGACACTTTTCCAAAGAAGATATTTATGCAGCCAAGAAACATATGAAAAAATGCTCACCATCACTGGTCACTAGAGAAATGCAAATCAAAACCACATTGAGATACCACCTCACGCCAGTTAGAATGGTGATCATTAAAAAATCTATAGACAATAGATGCTGGAGAGGATGTGGAGAAATAGGAACACTTTTATACTGTTGGTGGGAGTGTAAATTAGTTCAACCATTGTGGAAGACAGTGTGGCAATTCCTCAATGATCTAGAAATAGAAATTCCATTTGACCCAGCAATCCCATTACTGGGTATATATCCAAAGGATTATAAATCATTCTATTATAAAGACACATGCACATATATGTTTATTGTGGCACTGTTTACAATATCAAAGACTTGGAACCAACCCAAATGCCCATCAGTGATAGACTGGATAAAGAAAATGTGGCACATATACACCATGGAATACTATGCAGCCATAAAAAGGAATGAAATTATTTCCTTTGCAGGGACATGGATGAAGCTGGAAACCATCGTTCTCAGCAAACTGACCCAAGAACAGAAAACCAAACACCGCACGTTCTCCCTCATAGGCAGGTGTTGAACAATGAGAACACATGGACACATGCAGGGGAACATCACACACTAGGACCTGTTGGGGGTTGGGAGGTTAGTGGAGGGACAGCAGGGGGTTGCAGGATTGGGGAGGGATAGCATTAGGAGAAATACCTAATGTAGACGAGGGGGGATGGAGGCAGCAAACCACCATAGCACGTGTATACCTATGTAACAAACCTCTACATTCTGCACATGTACTCCAGAGCTTAAAGTTAAAAAATAAAATTTTTTTTAAAAAAAACTCAGTTCACCAACCTGACTCTTGAAGTCCAATAACCCTAGACCTCCCTTGTGCCCATAGCCCTAGGCCACATCAGAGCCAGCCAAAAGTACCCTCCTTCCTCAGCCCATTTGAGTTACTGTATAGATGCCCTTTTCTCTTACAAAACAGGCCCCCTTCTAACTCCCAGCTAGGAGAATACCTCCCAATGCTTTCCCTCATCTGCCATCTCCTCCAGGAACAAGCAGACCAGGCCCGCTGAAAGTCCCACGAAGGCCCCACCAACCAGACCCTCCTACCAGGAGAATATGTCTTCCTAAAAACTTTTAACCCAGCAAGCCTTAAACCAAAGTGGAAAGGTCCCTTTCAAGTTCCTCTCACAACCCCCATCGCAGCTAAATGCTCAGGACAAATCTCTTGGCACAATCTTTCCAGATTACAAAGAGCTCCCCACGTGCCCACTGACCCACCAACTGCCATCCTCCATGGATTCTCCAGTACTCTTCTCAACCCAACCAAACTCTGCCTTATGCCTGTTCCTGAGGACGACCCACCACTGTCTCCCTCCCCTTAAAAGCTGTAAGTACTTCCCAAATCCCTAAAGAAACTTAAATGCCCTGCCCCTGCCTAAACTGCCGCTTTACCCTCTTCCTCTACTGTGTCTGCCAAGACATCTCCTGGTTTTACCCCCAAGCTCCCAGTCTTGACTCTCTTTTAGCATGGATAAATGACCTATTTTTCCAAGGCAGTCTGTGTCACTTCTCCCCAGATGAAAGGCAGCTGTTTACCTTTTTACTCACTCTTCGCCTATCTATTCCTCCGACTCCTTGGGCCGCCCAGCTTCACCACACACCCCTTTCCTATCATCCCTAACTACCTCTACAGAACCCTCAGCTTAACCCACTCTCTGCTGAACCAATCCAACCGACCCTAGCACAAGATGCTGGCTATGCCTCTGTCAGCTACGACGTATCCTACCACTCCTGCCCCTGCAAACACCTGGGATTTTTCCACTTTAACCTATCATCCCCAATATGAAAGTAAAAGCGTCTCCCAGCATTTGAACATGCAGACATCAGCCAGGTTTCCCATCTCTGAAACAACCAAAAATACTAGTACAACTTCTGCGTTCCTATATTTCCGATCTCACCCATACAGACAATAATAACAAGCCCCTCCCCAGCCCCATAACCATGAATACAGAGTTAACTCTCTAAGCCCAAATTTGCTTTCAAGGCAATCTGTCTTCAGCCGACCTTTGGGCACCTACCGCCCCATCAATGTAACTATACCTTACAGCTTCAGGCCCCAACCGACTATCAAAACTTTCAAGTCTTCCGCGTTGCTCCATGTAGGCGGCCTGTCCGGTTTTCAGGACCCCAACAGTCATTAGTAACTCTCTACTTAACAATCAGGATTCGCAACGGAAGACATACCTATGACTATACACCATGGACCCCTTACAGCACAACCGCCACCCCTCAAGAATATGCCCACGTTTAACCACTTTCTGAATGGATCCCAGTAGATTCCAAACGATTCTTTCTCCAATGTAAAACTAAAACACACGGAGCCACTCAGCTTTCCCTGCTAACCCCTTTTCAACCACTGACTGGCGAGGATGGAGACACAAGCACCTAGAATCACCTCCCCCTTAACTTCCACACTGCATTTCAATAGAAGAAAAGGCTGGCAGACTGGTGCCTCCTGAATCACCTTCCTGTAAATAGCACGCTTGGTATTGGGGAAACTCTCCAGAAGACACTGTTTTTACTTAAACAAGATCAAACCGCCACCCCACTCCTCCATCCCGAGACCAGAAACCTTTCACATATAGTTCCTAAAGCTGTAAACCCAAAATCCTTTCATATGTGATTTCTAAAACTGTAAACCCACGACCCCTTCACCCATAATTTCTTTTTTTTTTTTTTTTTTTTTGAGACGGAGTCTTGCTCTGTCACCAGGCTGGAGTGCAGTGGCGCAATCTCGGCTCACTGCAACCTCCATCTCCTGGGTTCAAGCAATTCTTCCGCCTCAGCCTCCCGAGTAGCTGGAACCACTGGCACCTGCCACCATGCCCGGCTAATTTTTTTTGTATTTTTTGTAGAGATGGGGTTTCACCGTGTTGGCCAGGATGGTCTTGATCTTTTGACCTCATGATCCGCCTGCCTCGGCCTCCCAAAGTGCTGGGATTACATCACCCGCAATTTCTAAGGCTGTAAACCTATGATTCTTTCACGTGTAATATCTAGAGAGTAAGCCTATATAAAGGCAGAGCCTCTCTTTGTTAGAGGAGCTGGGTTATTTAGACAAGTCATTGCCCGGCTCCTGGGCCCTAACAAAGTCCTTCCTTCCCTGTTCAGTTGTTCGAGACTCTGTTTCTCGAGGCCACTTCTGCTACACCAGAGCCACCCTAGCTAGCACCCTAGGCATGTAGGAGAGGGAGAATAAACCCATATGCCTTTTAAACATACGCAACCTGTTTTGTCTGCCCAGCTAAGGCATAATTTTCAAGTGCAGGACCTTATCTTACCTATTCCTCCCCACTAATTAGACTGGCACCTGCACCCTAGTGTTTTTAAGCCCCAAAATAGACATTGCCCCAGGGAACCAAAGCTTACCAGTCCCCTTCAAAGCTCAAGTCTGCCAGCACCGAGCCATGCAGCTAACACCCTTCGAGGACTTGGAGTTACTGCGGCCACGGGAACAGGAAGAGCAGGGCTGTCCACCTCTCCGCAGAAATCTGCAAGACATAGCAGAATCCATTCTTACTCTTCAATCCCAAATAGACTCTCTAGCAGCAGTTACACTCCAAAACCGCCGAGGTTTAGACCTCCTCACTGCCGAGAAAGGAGGACTGTGTACCTTTTCAGGGGAGGAATGCTGTTTCTATACTAACCAGTCAGGAGTAGTACGAAATGCCGCTCGACGGTCAAATGAAAAAGCTTCTGAAATCAGGCAGCGCCTTTCGGTCTCCTGGGCTAATCTTTGGAGTTGGGCTCCACGGCTTCTCTTGCTAGCTGGACCTACTGTTTCTATCCTTCTTCTAGCATTTGGCCCCTGCCTCTTTGACTCCTCACTCAGTTTTTATAGGACCGTATTAGAGCTTTCACCCATGGGACAATACAAAGTAAGATGCTGCTCCAAGAATACAGACAGTTCCAGGAACGACAATCCCCACAATCTAGCCTCTACCCAGACGTTGCCCCTACCCAGCAAGAAGCAGCCACATGACAACGGCACCCCTCTTCTATTATCTGTTAAAAGGCAGGAGCCTTAGGAACAAGCTGCCCCAGAAAACCCCCTCCACGCAGCTGACTCCCGTCTCTGATTGCTCTACAGCTGCTTCCTACTCAGGCACCACAGCAAGGCTGCCAGGCATGCTACAATTAAGCAAAGCCTGATTATAGTAATCTGGGCAGCTGGCGGGGGGCAGGGAAAACAAATCTTTGTTTAAGTTCCCGTTTTACACACACCTGTAAATATCTGTTTTTTCATTTAACTGCCACCACAAAAGTCACAGGATGATGTATTATAAGTCTGTCACAAATTGACAAACTATCTCTGTGCCTGTTACGAGGTCATAGATTCTCTCAGTCCTGAAACTCCCTTATGCCCCTCTCACCCCACATAAACCCCTCGTTTTGTGGGCTCAGGGCTGCCTCCTCTGACTGTTATGGGGCAGCCCAGCAAATAAAAGTTGCTTGCCTGACTTTGGGTCTACTGTCCTTTCTCTCAGCTAACCGTGCAGGCACGATGCGCCAGGTACTGTGCCTAATCATCTCCATGCACAATTATTGCCTCTATTTCTTAGAACAATTTATGTGAAATTACTATCATCCCAATTTGTAGGAAAGGAAACCGAAGTTAGAGACTCCAAAGAACTTGCCCAAAATCATAGATGCTGGTCAGAATCAAGATTCAAACACAAGTATTGAAATTTCGTTCAGTCGTTCTTAGCCAAGTAGCTAGTATGACTGTTTCTAGTCAGAGAAATGCCAGCATGGATTTTTAAAAAAATAATTTCCACCAAAGAACTTACAATAAAAAGCAACCAACTCCTATCCCAAACTTCCACTCTCAGTCCCAGTTCCAAGGGACAACCTGTTTCATCAGCTTCTGGGTTTAGACTTTCTGCTGGTTTTCTCCTTAGTTCTAGACAATCTAATTTCCTGACTTACCAACTTTGGATGATATTATGGACCACCTCTTGCAAGATAAGGAGCTGACTGACTTAAGTCACCCTCTCCTTACCGTCTCCTCCCCTAACCTATGTTTGACAGGGGTACTAAGTTCTGTTCAGGGTTACTTATATAGCTTTAACTGTTACAATTACATCTCTGCTTCTTGTTCAATCATCTTTCAACATTCTCCTTGACTCCCCACCTGTGTGAAACGAAGCTCCGTGCTGCAGTCTTCCTTCCTCTCCACCCCTCCCCCACTTCTCACTTCCACCTTCTAACTTAGGCCTACAGTGCCTTTGCATTTACACCACTTACATTGTTATTTAAAGTAACGTTCTCCATGGTGTTTAGGGATTGAACCTTTTTAAAGCACTGCAGCCTGGAGAAACAGCATAGTCAAATGATTTGAGCGTGAAACAAAAAAACCCCATGCGTGGAAGGAAAGAAGAAAGAGTTTACTGGGAATTCACTCTCTTAAGTCAGTAGTCCATAAGTGTAGCCCCTGAACCAACAGCATCAGCATCACCGGGAAACTTATTAGAAATGCAAATTCCTGGGCTCCACCGGACTTACGGAATCAGCCACTCTGGGCTGGAACACAGCAATCTGTGATTTAACAAGTCATCCAGGTGATTGTAATGCAAGCTCAAGTTTGAGAACCACTGTGTTAAATAATTAACAGCTGTTTGTTAATTATTACATTAACAAATTCAAGATACAGTTTAAGAACAATGACTCTTTCCTGCACTAAATCTTATCCTGTAAAGGAAACTGCTTAAAACATGCACATGCATTTAAAAACTTTTAAAAATGGAAATCTGCACTGAGAGACCGTGATTAATATTTCCAAAAGACATGACTGCAGGTTGCATACATTTTTAAGAGAGCTCTTATCAGAGTGGACTTTCAGTATCATGAAATATAAAAGAAAGATGTTTCGTAAGGCAAAAGAAAGTAGACTGAGCGCAATTTGAATTGCATTTAACCTGCAGAAGTCCTTCATATGCCAGAGCAAGGCAATTTTCTGCCCCACATTTGCCTAAGAAAAGTTCGATGTGGTCCCCTCACAGAGACCCTTTAAAGCTGATTTGTCCTTAAAGCACAGGTTTATCTGACTGTTTCTTCCTTGTCAAGTTAGGCACATTTTCATTTGTCTAGACAAAATGAAGTCTTTCAGGCTTTCATTTAGGTTGGATCTACAAATTTTTTTAAGTTTTAAGTTTTTGAAATTTATTAATTTTTTTTGAGACAGAGTCTTACTCTGTCACCCAGGCTGGAGTGCAGTGGCATGATCTTGGCTCACTTGGCACCGAAACCTCCGCCTCCCAGGTTCAAGCGATTCTCCTGCCTCAGCTTCCCGAGTAGCTGGGACTACAGGTGCGTGCCACAACGCTCAGCTAATTTTTGTATTTTTAGTAAAGACGGGTTTCACCATTTTGGCCAGGATGGTCCCGATCTCTTAACCTCATGATCTGCACGCTTCAGCCTACCAAAGTGCTGGGATTACAGGCATGAGCCGCCACGCCTGGCCAAATTTTTTTTTTTTTTTTTTTTTTTTGAGATGAAGTTTTACTCTGTCACCCAGGCTGGAGTGCAGTGGCATGATCTCGACTCACCACAACCTCTGTGTCCTGGGTTCAAGCAATTCTCCTGCCTCAGCCTCCCAAGTAGCTGGGATTACAGGCGTGCACCACCATGCCCTGCTAATTTTTTGTAGAGACAGGGTTTCTCCATATTGGCCAGGCTGGTCTCAAACTCCTGACCTCAAGTTATCCACCCACCTCGGCCTCCCAAAGTGCTGGGATTACAGGCATGAGCCACCAGGCCTGGCCGGATCTATAATTTTCAATCCAATAATCATATGTATGATGATTATTATTGTGCTAAGATGATTCCTTTCCTACACACCCTATATCATGGCTCCCGTGTCACTTAAAAGAATGTTCACTAAAGCAAAATAAAGTTGACGCTCTTTCCCTAAAGATGAGGCCTGGGCTTCTCCATTGCACAGTGTTCTGAAAAAAGCAGCACTTCTGATATGGTGACCAGCTTCTAAGACAGAGCACCTCTAGCGTGAGCATCTCAAGAAGACCAGGCAGAAGCTTCAAGGCGTCTTATGACCTAGTCACTCAGTGACTTTCTACTCTTTGAATCACCAGACCAGAGTCAAGAACAGGAGAACTTGGATTCCACCTCCCAATTAAAAGAGTGACAAAAAAGCTGCAGCCATCTTTAATTAGTCACATGTGCTTCTACCAAAGCCTCAACTTAATCCAGCATCTCAATTGTATTATATATTCCATGAAATCGGCTCTTCCTAGAGGCGTCCCTCCCTGCAAGAGCCTTTTGACTTCCATTTTTGTTATGAATCTGTTTCTATCTGCATAAGAAGTCCATCCTAGGACTTCCCTCTCCAGCTTTCTTAGAATAGTTTCCCCGTATCCAATACCACCTGAGGGAATTTTCTCGTAAAGATTATGTAGAATGTAACCTTGTTAAACTCTTGCATGTCTCAAAATACCTTTACTTTGCCCATGTGCTTAATGATAATTTGGCTGCATATGGGATTCCAGGTTCAAAATTATATGCCTTGAAAACAGAGGTGTCATTGCCCCTTATCTTTTTGCATTCATTTGCTAAATTTTGTTTGTTTGTTTGTTTGTTTGTTTTTAAGACAGAGTCTGTCTCTGTCACCCAAGCTGGAGTGCAATGGCACGTTCTTGGCTCACTGCAACCTCTGCCTCCCGGGTTCAAGCGATTCTCCTGTGTCAGCCTCCTGAGTAGCTGGGATTACAGGCGCCGGCCACCACGCCTGGCTAAGTTTTTGTATTTTTTAGTAGAGACAGGGTTTCACCATGTTACCCAAACTGGTCTTGAACTCCTGACCTCAAGTGACCAGCCTGCCTTGGTCTCCCAAATTGCTGGGATTACAGGCATGAGCCACCATGGCCAGCTGGTTTGCTAAGTTTTTCTTATTCCTTTAAAGAGTTCTTTCCTTTTACCTAGGAGACTTATTTCTTCCATTTACTTGCAGTCTCAGTTTCACAAGGTTGTATCTAAGTCTGGAATTTTCTTTCATTCATTCTGCTTGGAATTTAGTGGATCTTTTTCTTCTGAGAGCTTATGTCTTTCTTCAATTTAGATTGTTTTCCTTCTATTATTTTTTCCTCTCAGTTTTCTCTATACCCATTACCTAGTGTGCACTGAACAGAGCAAATCAGTAGTCACATATTCACAGGTACTCAGAGATATTGGCTACATTATTTTCATAAAATCCTCTTTAGTGCACAGAGAGCACTGGTTTGACATTTTTATGGTTTATGATGGGGCTGGTGGAATACAAGAAAGTGCTCTGCTCGTGATCTGACTGTCCCAGTGCATCACTGGTGAACTTCGTCCACCGTTTCCCTCATAAAACAGAAAGCCTTAATATGGAAATAATAGCAATAATAAATCAATGAGGTTAATCATTGGTAGGTTTGATTTTTTTCTTTTCTCTTTTCTTTTTTTTTTTTTTTTTTTGTGAGACAGTCTTGCTCTGTCTCCCAGGCTGGAGCGCAATGGCGCGATCTCGACTCACTGCAACCTCTGCCTCCCAGGTTCAAATGATTCTCATGCCTCAGCCTCCCAAGTAGCTGGGATTACAGTCATTCACCACCAGGCATGGTTAATTTTTGTATTTTTAACACAGATGGGGTTTTGCTATGTTGGTCAGGGTGGTCTCAAACTCCTGACTTCAAGTGATCTGCCCGCCTCAGCCTCCCAAAGTACTGGGATTACAGGCATAAGCCACAGTGCCTGGCCTGATTATTTTCATACTGAGATTTTATTTAAAAGTCCTTTCTCAGGCTGAGTGTGGTGGCTCACGTCTGTAATTCCAGCACTTTGGGAGGCTGAGGCAGGCGGATCACGAGGTCAGGAAATCAAGATCATCCTGGCCAACATGGTGAAACACCGTCTCTACTAAAAATAGAAAAATTACCTGGGCGTGGTGGTATGTGCCTGTAATCCCAGCTACTTGGGAGGCTAAGGCAGGAGAATTGCTTGAACCTGGGAGGTGGAGGTTGCAGTGAGCCAAGATCATGCCACTGCACTCCAGCCTGGTGACAGAGCAAGACTGCATCTCAAACATAAAAAAGAAAAAAAAAAAGTCCTTCCTCAATTCTTT